AAAAAAAAAAAAAAAAAAAAAAGAATTTTATATATATATATGTATATAATATCTATATCTTTTTAAATTTAAAACGTTTTTCTTTTAACTATTTTCTATTTAATATGTTTTAGACATCATTACATGTCAGTAAGTATAGCTTTGTTATCATTTGTTTAGCCAGTGACATTGATAAGCATTTTGATCATTTGTACTTTTTCAGTCTTATAAACAATCTGACTCAGCATCTCTGTTCATCTCTACATACTTTTGCATTTATCTCCTTAGCACACATTTTTGTAAATGTTGGTACGTACTGTTAAATGTTCTCCAGAAAGTATATACCAGCTTACACTTCCACTAACGATGGATGGAAATAATCTATTGCCCTATATCCTTACCAAAAAAAAATTATCTTTTTCAAAAAAATCTTTTAAAATTATTTCTTTTAAATCATCACCAATATGGTGAAAATAGTCTTCTATAGTTGAGTTCATAAGGCAGTGAAGGTTGAGACTTTCTTTTCTGTTAGCTTATGAAAAGGCTGCTGTATAATTGTTTGTTTATTTTTAGGCTTCTCATAACATTGGGATAGCAATGGATACAGAGCAGGGCTTGATTGTACCTAATGTGAAAAATATTCAGATCCGCTCCATATTTGAGATCGCCACTGAATTGAACCGCCTCCAGAAATTGGGCTCTGCAGGTCAACTCAGCACCACTGACCTTACAGGAGGAACATTTACTCTTTCCAACATTGGATCAGTGAGTAATAGTAATGTTCAAGTTCATACACCATAACTTAAGATTTGTGACCATATGCTCAGTTAAAAATATAAACTTTACTTTGCCATTTGTTCCTCAGAAGCTTAATTTTTCTACTCTATTTTGTTTGTTTTTTAGATTGGTGGTACCTACGCCAGACCAGTGATATTGCCACCCGAAGTGGCAATTGGGGCCCTGGGAACAATTAAGGTATGTTTGTTACATAGTTGAAAAAAGAGTTTAAGCAAACTGGGGTAGGAAAAACAAAGAAGAGTGACCGTTTCTGAGGTTTTTCCCCTCACTTTGTAGGTTTGAGTATGGTATTGGGTTTAGTAAGCCAATTATTTCTTCCTAAGAACTAGGACTATAACTCCGGTGGCTGCCTCTCTGTAGAGTAAATGCTTGTGATCTGGATTGTTTCTGTATGGATCAACCATTGTGGATTATGCCAGGCGCAGGTGTGAGCCTTTATGAGTAATCACAAATATAGCCAATCTGAGTCTGTCAAAATATCTTTATTTCAGAATACCAAAGAATAATAGTAAGCCAATCCAAATTAGTATTTATAACGGTAAAACACCATTGAGAGCGTTTTTAAACTTTGCTCTGTTCAAGAATCATTGGGAGTGCGGTTAAAAATGCAGATTTCTTGGCATTGGGGACAGAGCCTCCAAAATTTACATATTAAACAAGAACCCATGTGGCCATGTTATAGGAGACTGGCTTAGAATAAGGGTTGCAGTGATTCTTAACCCTGGCTACACATTAGAATCATCTGGAGAGTGTGAAAAAAGTACCCAAGCTCACCCCATACCAAGTGCACCAGAATTTGGGGTGGGCGTGGGGCTGGGGCTTGGGCATCCCTATTAACTCAGGGTTGAGAACCACTCAAGTTAAAGAAATAAGCTCATAGATACCATTTTAATACCACCATTATTAAATGTCATTGTCACTACATTAACCTTGATTTTGATCTTCACGTTTTCAGAAGACCCTTTCTTCTTCTCTGTATTTATAATGCTTCCACATGGAACATCTCTGGGACTTGCTTTTCATGAGTTTATTACTTTCATGTTGGCATCCAAAATCTTCACAGATACTTTCATTCAGCCTTTGATGTGCTTTCTAGCAGCTGGTACTTTGGCTGCTAAGTTACTCCCTCTTCTAGCTCTACTTTCCCTTCTGGCCCACGGAAGAGACAGGGAGGAAAAGTAAGAACACATAGCATGACACTGTTCTGTCCAAATCAGAAGTTTCTCTAAGGGATTAACTTCTCTATCACTCGTCCACCCCCAACAAGCATTCAGCATTTGATTCTCATAGAATTCTGACTTTTTGCAGCTTACAAACAAACCATCATACCTATTTAACAAAGTTTTGTTTTCCCTTTTCCTGAAAGCAGTTTGTTTTCTTCTGAATTGTACATATAGGTATATAATTGTGGTAAACTATACATGACAAAGTTTATCATTTTAATCAAAGTGTATGGTTCAGCAGCAGTAGGTACAGTCACACTGTTTGCAACAATCACCACCGTCCATCTCCAGAACTTTTTTATCATCCCAAACTGAGACTCTGTGTGTACAGTATATACCACATTTTGTTAATCTATTCATCTCTAATGAGTATTTGGATTGTTTCCATTTTTGGCTATTGTGAATAATGCTGCTATGAACATTGTTGTACAATTATCTGTGTGAGATGCATTTTTTCAGAATCATCTCACTCATGGTTTTTTCAGGTTATGAAGCATAGTTCTTAAAGTATAAATCTGCATAGTGACTTAATGTAGTTAATCTTTGTTGGGTAGGGACAATATTTCATTCCTTTCTCGCTTTGGGTCGTCTCTCCTTTGCTATCTTTTGTTTTCAATGTAAATTTTAAACTGTCACTAAATAGTCTTAAGTCACTAAAACCTCCACATTCCTCCATTCTCAGTCCTTATCTTTCTTGACCTATTAGCTGCGCTTGAGTTGATCAGTACCGCCTCTTTGGAAAACCTTCTTGGCTGCGACTTGCAGAAAACCTCACTAGTCTGCTTCCCCCCTACCTTGTGCCTGTTCCCTCTGAGTCTCCTTTGCCTGTACCTCCTCATCTCCCGATCTCTAAACATTGGAGGACCCCAGGGCTCAGTTCTGGCCCTTTTCTTTATCTGATCCAGTCTCACAGCTTTAAATACCATTTATATGCTGATGGCTCCCAAGTTTATATCTCCAGACCAGACTAGACCTCTCCTTATTTCCTACTCAGATGTCTAACTCTTATTTCCTACTCAGATGTCTAACTAGGCATCTCCAATTTCCTGCCCCTTCCCTCACCACCACACCCTCTCACCTGAAGTCTTCTTTCAGTGACTGGCCGTTCTGTTCAGAAACCTCCAATAGCTTCTCACCTCACTCCAAATCAAAGGCAAACTAGCTGCAGTGGCTTACCATGGCTCTACACTGGTGCCACTCAGTGTGACTGGGACCCACATCAGGCTGCGACTGTTGTATCCGGGCTCTGAGGGGAGAACTACAGAAGGGGAGAGTAGGGCTCAGAAACCTTCGTTGCCCTTTGACAGAGTGATTTTATGTCTACTGAACCTAACAGTAAGAGGTGGATCTTGCATTTTGTATATCTTTTTATATCATTATAAAAAGATGATATATTTTGATATATTTTAAAAAAATAACCTGCAATGAATTTGCTTTTTTTTAAATCTGTGTTTGGAAAAGTCAGAGGCAGACTGGGAAGCATAACTGTTGTCTTAGCAACATGCCCCCCTTCAGCCTGCTGTTTCTGTGTCATCTCCCACCGCTCACCCCGGCCCCTCCACTGCAGCCTCCCTGCCAACTTTGCTGGTCCTCCAACACTCCAGCCATGCTTCCCCCCGTCTTTCTCCAGGTGTCCATATGGCTTGCTTCCTCACTGCCTTCAGTGAGGACACCTTCTTGGTGAGGCTTTCCCTCCCCCACCTGTTAAAAAAAAAAAATGCAACCTCTCCCCTAGTTCCACCTCCTGCGTATAATCTCTATCTCCATTCCAAAGTACTTTATTTTTTCATTTGCACTTTTCACTGTCTAACACACTATATATATTTTACTTATAATTTATCTTAATCGTCTGTCTCTCCCCATTAAAATGTTAGCTCCAAGAGGGCAAGGATTGTTATTTGTTTTGTTCATTGCTTTATCCCTAGAGTCTAGCAGAGTACCTGGTACATGGTAGATGCTCAATAAGTAGCTGTTAAATAATTGAAATATGAAATGAAGTTTACTGTACATACGGAAATTATACAGGCAACAGGAAATACCTTGGAGAAACTCTGAAAGCTTGAAGCACACACTCACAAAGATGGGGAAAGTAGTAGTTAGCATTATCAAAAGTCATTTGGGATGCCCATTTCTTCTCAATTATAGGGAGGGAGATTTGCCTAATCTTTCACCATTGTTTTTACTAGAGCTTGCTTTGAGCAAGTGAAGGCTGACTCTGTCCTTTTCCTTATTTGTAGGCCCTTCCCCGATTTAACGAGAAAGGGGAAGTATATAAGGCTCAGATAATGAATGTGAGCTGGTCAGCTGATCACAGAATTATTGATGGTGCTACAATGTCACACTTCTCCAATTTGTGGAAATCCTACTTAGAAAACCCAGCTTTTATGCTACTAGATCTGAAATGAAGATTGATAAGACATCCTTGAACTTTCTGAGCTTCAAAAGAAAATGCAGAGCCCAGCTGTGCAGCACACGTTCCTCATTGCAGTTTGTATTGTAAATGATTTGTAATGTATGATTACAGTTCTGAGACACAATATGTATCACTATTCCGTTAGAGTTTTTACTGGAAAGGAATAATGGTATAATAGTTCTCCTGGCTGTCACATTTTATAAGTCATAGTACGCCTTCTTAATATAGTGCTGAGGTCTTTGTGTCAATGGATTGAAACTGGCAGGAACAACAAAATGAATATTACTGAAAGACAGGCCGCCATATACAGTATTTGCCCTATTTTTTGCTTTCTTTTTTTTATTTTAAACTAACTTTTTTTTATAAACTTTTTAAAATTTATTTTATTTATTACTTTTGGCTGCATCGGGTCTTAGTTGCGGCATGTGGGATATTCGTTGAGGCATGCGGGATCTTTCGTTGCAGCACAGGATCTTCATTGTGGCATGCGGGCTTCTCTCTAGTTATGGCGTGTGGGTTTTCTCTCTCTAGTTGTGGCGTGCAGGCCCCAGGGCATGTGGGCTGTGTAGTTTGCGGTGCACGGGCTCTAGCTGAGGTACGTGAGCTCAGTAGTTGTGGCACACAGGCTTAGTTGCCCTGGGCATGTGGAATCTTAGTTCCCTGACCAGTGATTGAACCCACATCCCCTGCATTGTAAGGCAGATTCTTTGCCACTGCACCATCAGTGAAGTCTCTAAACTAATTCTTAATGAAACTTTTCAATTATACTTAGTTGGGAAAAGGAATTTATATGCAAAAGTATTTTCTATTTCCCCACAAGAATGCAAATTATTGTATAAAATAAGTGCAATTGTATTTACCTTTTAAGATATCCTGGAGTGTGTTGCTCTGTAGAGATTATCATCTGTAAATGTCTTATTTGTATAAATTAATATCTTTTAAAAGGGAAAATTATAAGCTAATCTTAAAAATGCCCAATTATAGTTTTATAGCCAGTAAGGCCATTAAAAGTATTTGTTTAAAGTGGATATACTTTTAGAATTTGGTAATGGTTTAGTGTTTTATTGAGAAAAACTTCACCTTTACAACCTTGCTTCAATGTAAGGAAGGTACTTTAAATGTAGCAACCACTGACATTGTGTTACATTCAGAAGTCCATTGCCTTTTAACTTTTTTTTTTTTACTTTCTTGGTCTTCAGCTAAAAAAATAGGATAGATTAATAAGTTAGGGTCTATTCTATTCTTCATATCCTGAGAAGGAATATGAATAAGGGGAGAGAGAAGACTAATGGGTAATTATGGACATTAAAATAAAATAATAAATTTTGCACAGAAATAAAGGTATCCTCATGATTCATTTTGTTAGGGGCCCACTTGAATCAGAAATTCACGTTGTTTCTAATATTGTCTAATTGAATACTATGTTCAAGTGAAGTTTTGTGACAGAAAAAGTTGTTTTAATGTCTACTTGATTTTTTTCAAAATGGAAATGATGTATAATTCAGAAAATAATGGATCTAATGAATGTTATTTTTTAAATTCAGATAATATGAAGAGTTGCAAAGAAAATAAAATCAACCATAATCCTACCACTATTAACATTTTGATCAAGGTATCTGTATACATAGCTATTCTTTTTATGAAAATAAGGTTGTGTTGTATCTACTATTTTACAGTTTGATTTTTTAAATTTAACAGTATGAGTCAATAAACAGTTCCACATTATGATACTTTTAAATGGCTGCATAATATTCTATTGTTTGCATTTATTACACATCTAGATGTTAAACATCTACTGTATACTAAGTGTGGTGCTAAGCAGTGGGTACACAATGCCCATCCTCATGGTTCCTGCCTTCATTGGGCTTACAGTCTAGGGAGGGAGACAGATATTTAATAATCATAAAAATAAGAATATAATTAACTTCTAAGTAGGAGAAAACAGGGTGCTATGAGAGCATCTAATAGAAGTCACTGATCCTGTCTGGGAAGATGAGGAGAGGATGCACCATAATTTAACCAATTCCCTGTTGATGGCATTTACAGAATTTTAAGTGAAGAATGACATGATCAGTAAAAATGTCCCCTTCACTTCAGAAATGTGAAAACTAGGAGAACAAGAGCTTTGAAATAAGTATGTAATATGTTCCCCTAAAAGTCCAACATCCTTGGCTCAGAATAAACCCTTGAGCTACCTGTTCTATCCCAAATCCCTGCCATTACCACCTTCTCTTTTGTCTCATCCTTTGACAATTCAGCAAAGGATTTGCTTTCCATTGTGTGTTGGATCCACTGGGAGGGATGAGGGGGCCAGGAGCACAGCCCTAGTAGCTGATCCACAGGGCTCCACACATCATAGGGCGGGAATTGTTTAGAACAAGGCCTTAGCCATATTCCTAAAGGTTGAAATTAAAGAGAAGAAGCCAAAAACTTCAAGTCCTTCACTAGTATGTCTGGAGGTTGGAAGGTACTATATGTCCATGGGGGAGAAGCCAAAGTTATTGGCCCCAAATTATTGTTGGGAGCACCCAACAAGAAAATCAAGGTTCCATTCATTATGTAGGGCATTCCTCTGATTTTGAAAAGGAAGCACAATAGGGAAGGAAGTTTGAAGGACAGAAGCCAGATTGGTATTAATTTCCATTTTAGAGATCAAAATGTGCCAAATCTTGGAACATTCCAAGAAGTGGTTATGTGGGGAAAAGAGAGCCCACAGGCCTGTTTCAGCATTTCCCATGGCTTTCCAAAGTGGGTCCCAAAGATCACTTGATGCATTCCTTTGCTGACTTCTAAGTAAACTACGGTTTGAGAAAGATGATGGAACTCACTCAGCACTACCCCGCAGCCCTGAAGTACAACCTTTCCTTGGAGTCTTCAGACTTATTTAACATTCACCCTGTAACTGATTAATTAGTTCATTCTGCACATATTTATTACCGAATATATGTATTCAGTTCCAGGCCCTGGGATATACACTGTGGATAAAGATGGAGAAGATAGATGAAGTTTCTGACCTCACAGTGAGAACTCTGGCTGGTGACTAAAGCCTTCACCAGAAGTGGGTCTGTGCCAGTAACTTGGAGAAGAGCTGTGCTTCCTCTATCTTCCGATAGAGTTGAGTTGTATCTCCAGCCAGTTCTTAGAGGTGGTTTTGCTCCTTCCCTATAAACTGTCTTTTCTCACTGAGGTTAGATCATTGTGTCTCCTTTACACATCATCAATCCTGCCTCATCAATCCTGCCTCACAAACCGTACACCTAATAATAAGATGGACTCTGTCCTTAGGTCACACAGACACAGGCCATTCAAGCTCCTCAGGTTACGGTTTGGGTGTTGCTTTTTACGAGGCAAGCAACATAGGGGACCTACATGAGCCCAGACATTTAGGGAGCAATATGCAAGGGCTGGACCATCTGAGCATGACATTTGCAGAGTGCACATAAAAGAGCTTCTAATTAAACTACCATCAATGAGTCATCTAGCCTCTATGCTCATGAAATAGTGGTAGAGAGGGAAAAATTGAGTAAAATTTGAGACAATAATTATAATAGTGTCAGGCACCGCTAATGCTTTACACATATTAATGTGTTTCCTCTCTCCAGAAACACTATGAGGTGGGTGCAATGATTAGCCCCATTTGAGGAAACAGAGTTTAAGTACTTAGATGCATGTGGATTAACACACTCTAAAGAAGTATACAAAGCTAAACTACTATACCTCACTTCGTGTTCCAAATGCCAGGATTGTCCATGATTTTATGCTGTTTGAGGAACTGGTATTATTGAGCTAAAAGAAAGAGAGTTTTTGTTTGTCTTAGGGGTCTTAACAGTTTGAAATACTCCCTGAAGGCCCTGTGTTCTCCAGGCACCGAAAGGAAGGAGTTTTGGTGTTATGAATTCTCTGCAGCAGTAGTTTATGAGAGAAGCATGATGTCAGTTCACCTCAGAACAGGATCTACCAACATCCTCCTGTTCTCTTACTGAGCCAGCCTTGACACACCAGAACCAAACTGTACAAGAGCTGGCCATTGGGGATTCTCAGAGTACAGGATTGCTTCCTTTAGGCATGAGAGTGAAGCCTGAAGCTGCCTGCAGTGACTTCCCAGTTGTTCCTGGTGGCCTGTAGCAAAGCATGAGGATGATATCACGTGCTTCGAGAGATGATCAAAGGAAAATCCTGAGGCTTCCAGAGGAAAGGATTGGGGTCTCAGTCCTTGCAGACAGTGGCTTATCTTCCCCAGGTACAAGCACTCAAAAACTAGAAAGAGGTAAGCACAGAATTTGGGTTTTAGAAGATCCTCTTATGCCCTTTATTGTCCTAAGCTCCCATCACAATGAATTAGTCCCCATTCCCTGAAAACAACATGCAGTGTATTTCATGTTTCTATGCCTTTGCTGGGCTTGTTTCTCCACTCTGGTTTCCACCAAAAGAAAATCCAGAACAAAAGTCACTTCCTTTTTTAGACCTCCTCTGACTGCACCTCCCTACATTGGAATCAATATTTATTTTTCCTCTCTCCTGCTTTGTCCACACCTCCAACAGGACTCATGCAGTGATGTAGCTGGATGAGTATGTCTTCACTGCTGGCCTGTGAACCCTCTCTAGCCCCAGCTCAACTGACTAGTACTCAGTATGTGCTGGTTGACTTAAAAAGAAATCTATGCCCTGGATCTGATTATGTTTTTTAATGAAGTCCTCATGTAGCATTGAAGCATTGCCAATGACCCAGAAAAGTATAATGTGAAGCAACCATGGCCATGAGGCCGTTCTTGTATCTATGGAATGACTCTGAATGGCTATGCTTGCTACAAGGAAAAGTATCTAGAGGAAAAGGAATCTGTTCAAACCTCCTTATAATTGGTAAGACATTTGTTTTAAATTTTGGACAGAAGACAGTTATATTTTCTATGTGTTGTGTATATTTCATAGTTCATTGTAATTCCTCAGTTAATCAGAATGTTTAGTGCTTTCAAGCTCATTTTAGATTTTATAGAACTTGGATCATTATTTTGCTTTTTAAAATGTTTACTACAAATGATTCATTTATGCCACTACACCATGTGATTAAGCAAAGCAATGATTTATCTGAGACCAAGCAGGAAATAACACAGCCAAATTCTCCAATGTTATTTATATGGGAAAACAATACCCACGTTACAGGTGCATTTACTATGCCAAAAAAGTAGAAACTACTTAATTTATTGACTTACTGATTTATTGATTTATGCCCTGCCACTTTCAGAAAGAATTTCAGAAAGCAGCTGTGTCCATAGTCATAT